ATAGTATGTAATAACTTCTAACTAGCTTGCCTCAAAAATATTCACAGAAGACATGCTCAGGAAATATTTTGTGGCTTTTGCTCTATGTAATTTTGTTATAATTGAGTTCATATCCATTATGGCTGATATTGGAAGGTGGACAAAATTCTGACATATCGGGCAAAAAGTTGTTGCCTGAGATAACTCTGAAAAAGAAAAAAACGGATTGTAGGATGTTTTAGAAATGACAGGAGTTTGTTGAGTTTGTTCCAGTGAGTTCAAATTTTAATTTTAATTAATTTTTTATGGATAATTAAAATAACCTAGCTTTATGTACCTTACTGTCTTTTTACCTTTTTTTGGTACATGCTATTACTGACTGAATATTCAGTTAGTGAACAGATAATTTTTGAATACCTAGCAGGGATACAATGGTGAACAAAATAGACATGTTTCCTACTTGGATTAGCCAGAATATAATTGTTTAACAAATACCCATAAGTTATAAGTGCATTATGTAATGGGAGGGGGTATACAGGTGCTGTGAGAATTTATAATAGGTAGACCTATAGGATGAGTGGGAGTTGGTTACATGATGTGCTGGGGTCAAGAAGGCTTTTGACCTGACGTTGGGAGAGAACACGGTGAATTCAGAACCCTGAAAGACACTCGGTGCTGCAGACTCAGAGGCGTGAGGTGGTGAGAGGTGGCTGGGGAGGTGGGCAGAGGCCAGATCATGAGAGTCTTACAGGCCTTGTTAAGGAGTGTGGGACTTTACCGTAAGGATAGTGGGAAATTTACAAGATGAAATGAATTCACACAGGCTGCTAGGTGGAGAGTGAATTGGAGAGGATCCAGAATGGACACGAGAGGCTTATCAGTGGGCTATAGTCCAAGCCACAGATTATAGTAGAGTGACTTGAATTAGGATGGTGGCAGGATGGATTCAAAAAGCATTTAACAGGTAAAATTCCTAGGACTTTATACTTGATCATATTTGGGAGGTGAGATAAGAGTGAGAAGGAGGGTAGTGACAAGGATAACATCCAGGTCTCTATGACAGAAACATCTGTGAAGGTGTTGCCTTTTATTGAGATAGTGAACATTGGAGAAAGAGGAGGTTTATAGGGGAAGTCTGAGGCATCTGTGAAACATCTAGATAGTCATATAGAGTAGGAAATGAAATAAATGGATGTGGAACTCAGGAAAGGTATCTGGACAGAATATATAAAGTTTGGGATAATGATGGTAAATGAAGTCACAAAAGTGGAATGAGATTGCCTTAGGGATATCTGTAGAATGAGAATTGTAAAAAGCCTCAGACAGTATCCCAAACTTCTCTCTGCATTTAAACCTTGCGCGTGCATGCACACACACACACACACACACACACACACAAAATTATACCATAAGTATATATTACTTTTTGGAATGTGTACTGACTATATTAATTATGTCTTAACTTGGGGCATATAATTAGAAATATATTAATTTAATTTTAAACCAGTACTTCTTAAGTGTTGCTCTGTATTAGATGGTATACTATTAAACACAGATGATTCAGAGACCTAAGTTAAGGATTCTGCTTTCAAATTGTATTCTAATTCTTTGCAGAGACAGAAAAATAAACAAGATGTTATATAAATGCTATTATAAAGGTAAGCATGGGGTGTTTTGGGAGCATGGACAGCCATAGTGTAGAGCTACCATTAAGGAAAGCTTCCTGAAAGAGGCAAGATTTAAACAGAGTCCTAAAAGATGGATTGGCATTGCTAGGCAAAGAGGGCAGAGGAAGGGCTCTTACCATCGTGCTGTATCTCCTCTCACAGTTCCAGGGGCCAGTTGAGAGCCAGATCAGATTATGGTGGATTGAAGAATGAGCAGGAAGTGAGTAGACAACTCCTGTAGGTTGAGGTCTGAGTTTAATTGCCTTAGTGTTCTCTGTGCCTTGCATAATGCCTGGCACTTAATGTTTGTTGCATTAGCTATGGACATAAGAGAGATACCTCCTTCTCTAAAATGAATATGTGAGGAAGGACTGAGTCGAGATTGCTGTGTTCACCCTGCACGCAGAGTGGAGCTGACTGTGGGCAGCTGCAGCTCTTTACCTGTGAGTCTTATGGCTGGCTGCGCAAGGAGGCCAGGTGCGTCCCCGTGGCCAGAATTCTCAGCATTAATCTGTCAGCTCTTTATGTTTTATTCTAGTCTTTTTTCAGTTGAGTATATGATACTTGTAGCTTAGTATTTTTTCAATATTATATCATGTGATTCCCGTGTGAAATTCTTAAAATATTTTCATAAACAAGATCTTAAGTGGCTACATAACCTCTTATTGGATGTTTATTTGAACATTTATTTGAGCACTTTGTTTAAAATTCTCTTTTTTAACTTTTAATTTTGAAATAATTTCAGACTTAAAAAAAGTTGCAAAAATATTACAAAGGACTTCTATATATTGTATCTTCAGCTAGTTTATGGTAGTGTCTATCAGAGTTTTCCATTGTAAAGTCACTCTTTTTCCCTCTGTAATTAATAAGTATCTTGTGGGAGATACTTTAAGACTATATATGATCCTGTTTCTCAAAATTTTACCCAGTAATCTTACCATCCTTTGATTTTTTTTTTAGTTGAATTATTACTAAAATGGTTGCTAAGTGGTGATTTTTCTAATTACATTATTCCTTCATTCATTTGTTGACATTCCATTCTAAAGGAGAGTTTCTCCTCTCATTTATTACATTCTTTTTTTAAAAAAAATTACTGATTTGAGAGAGAGAGGAAGCAGGGGAGAGAGAGAGAGTGTGAGTGAGAAACATCAATGTGAGAGAGAAACGTCAGTTGGCTGCCGCCTGTTCTCGCCCCAACCACGGACTGAACCCACAACCTAGGTACGTGCCCGGAAGGAAAATCGAACCCGTGACCTTTTGGTGCAAGGGATGCCACTCCAACCAACTGAACCACATTGGCCAGGGCTTATTTATTACATTCTTATTTAATGGGCTGCAATGCTCCAGATGTGGCCATTAGGAGCCCCTCCAGCTGGCTTCTCTTTCCTTTTAGGTGCACTCACTCTCCGAGCATTTTCCTACTTTCAGGCACAACAAATGTTTTGCCATCTGGCAAAGCAAATCCTCTTCTCATTATTTTTCACTTAAAAAAATTATTGGCTGCTCTTGGGCATGAAGTCTTTGAATTAACTTTAGATTTTTTAAAAAAGCATGGATTTTGACTGGAGTTAGACTGAATTTATAGAGAGCTGACATATTTTCATTACTGAATTTTCTCACTTAAGAACCTGTTACATCTCTATATGTATGTGGATCTTTTATGTCCTTTGGTAAAAATCTTGCCCATTTCTGCATAAATTTATTTTTAGCTATTTTATAGATTTCGTTCCCATCATGAGTGAAATTTTTTTCTAATTGATTATTGCTGGTACAGTTTTTAAGATGCTTTTGATTTAAACTTATAGTCACCTACTTTATTGAACTTATTATTATAATGTTTTTACAGTTCTCTTGGCTTTTCTAGGTGGACAGTTAACATAATCTGCAAATCATAACTTTTTATCACTTCATTTATAATATTTACACATAATTTATTTCATTTGTTATCTCCTGGCTAAGATATCTGAGTCGGGTGGAGAAGGGTAACCCTGGGAAGTCTTCTTGGCTCATGTTACACTTAAGGGGAGTATTAAAGAATGTGCAACAGGTGAAATAGCGTGGTGGAGAATGTATTCCAGACAGGGCTCGGGGAGAGAAACAACAAGGCAGTGTTCAGCGAATAGAAAGAATGGCTAGAGCACAGGACATAAACAAAGCTGGGAGAAGCAAGAGGTGGGTTGGAGAATAAATAGGGGCACAGCAAGAAGCCGGACTCTGAGAGCAATTACTTTATTCTAAAAGAATTGAGAATTTAATTGAAGGTAAAGATGTGTTAGGTAGAATGACCCCCCAAAGACGTCCATACCCTAATCCCTGGAATCTGTACATGTGTTACCTTACATGTCAGAAAGTGCTTTGCAGATGAAATTAAGGTTATGGACCTTAATAAAGTGGGGTGGGGGGAGGGAGGGAGAGATTTCCTGGGTTATTCAAATGAGCCCAATCTAATCCCGTGAGCCTGAAAAGCAAAGAAGATTCTCTGGCTGGAACAGAGCCAAGATGTGGTAGTAGGTGAGGTTGGAGAGATTCGGAGTGGGAGGGACAACCCACCATGTGGAAAACACAAGAAGGCATGCAGGAGCAAAGACTGTCTTGGAGCAGGCAGGGAGGCAAGGGCCTCGACCCTGCAGCTGCAAGGAGCTGAATTTGACCAACAGACTGAATGAATCTGGAAGCAGATTCATCTCCAGCGTCTCCAGAAAGCCCTGCTGGCCACTTGGTTTTAATCTCGTGAGCCCATGCAGAGAACCCAGCTGAGCCACACTGTACTTGGGCTTTTGGCCTACAAAACTTTGAGAAAAGAAATTTGTGTTATTTTAAGCTCTAAGTTTGTGGTACTTTGTTACAAAAGCAGTAGAATTCTGATACTGAGGGGTTTAATAGGGAAGTAATGCCAGATTCAGTGTTATTAACAGACTACTCTTGTGCTGTGTGGAAAATGGATGTGGGAGAATGCAAATATGGGGGCAGGGGAACTTGTCTTTGGAAATACAGTGATGGTGTGGATGGAGGGTAGTGATGGTGGGGAGGGGATATGATTTGATACTTATTTGGGGGTTGGAATTTACCAGAATTCGGTCATTGGTTGATGTCAAGAATGAGGGAGAGGCAGGGCACAGGCTGACTGCTGAGTTCTGACTTGGATGCCAAGTGACGGGCGAAGCTGTTTTGTGTCACAGGGGTGAGCAGATTGCAGGGCGCTGTGTCATGAACTTAAAGGTAATTCCAGGTTGTTCTTCATTTGGAAATTCGCCTATAAATATTTATTTTAAGGTAGAGTATGTCAATAAGATGATTGCTTTATCTTTTAAGACCTAAATTGGCTTTGTTTTGTGGTTTTGTTTTTTTTTTTAGGTCACGTAGGAAATTGTAAATCATGTGAAGATGGGACTTTTGGTATTTGTGCGCAACCTGCTGCTAGCCCTCTGCCTTTTTCTTGTACTGGGATTTTTGTATTATTCTGCATGGAAGCTACATTTACTCCAGTGGGAGGACTCCAGTAAGTATGGTCACTCTGGCCGACCCCCAGGAAGAGCCTGCTGCAGATGAGCTCTTGGGTTTCCTAGTGGCTGCAGTGCACTCATGTGCTTCAGAGGTGGCCGTAGAGACTAAACTGACCACTTCTGGGATTTAGGCTTAGAAATTGACTACCACTTTTGTTGCTGTAGGTTAAAAACGGGGGCGGGGGGGGGGCGGCGGGGGGAAACAACTGCATGCCATGGCAAATCCTTTTATGAACCCAGTGAAAATGTGCTATTCTTCAATAAAAACTCAACCTGTGTCAGTACTCCTAGTCCTTAAATATTTTTCTTTTTATTTACTACAGTGTATTGCTGCTCCCATTTGCCATTTATTACTTTAGGGCTTGGTAGTGAAGTTGGGTTGTTTTTGCCCTGAAAACTTAGTTTTTACCTTTTCTTTGAATTTTCAATTTTATATTGTCTGTTTTATTTTCTCTAAAGAAGTTCTGTCTAAATCTTTTTAGCCTTTGCTGGCATTGAACTTGTACCTGAATAGAATAATGCCCTGCATCTCCCAATAACTCCTGGTTCCTTTCTTCAATTTGTACCTGAGGCCTTACGTGTTACCCAGTGTGTTCCATGTAGCTGCCTGAACCCCTTGGACGTGGTTTCAGTTCATCCACTGTGGCCTGTGTGTGGTTTTAGGCTGACAGTTGAATGGCTTGCACTGAGCAACAGGCAGCTTTGCACTTTCTATTTTTGGCAGTAGCTTGAAGTATCACATAGTGACCATAAGTAGTTTTTTTGTTGTTGGTTTTTTGGTCTGAAGGCTATCTGAGCTTGTTGCAGGAAATATAGGGTAGTTTGATTCCTGTGACTGTCTCTTTTCTAAAATAGTTTTATTTTCACAAACATCTACCCAAGACTAGTGTAGAATTCACTTGAGAGTAGAGTTAGTCTCTCGATATGAGGTTAAAATGAGTTAGAATGAGTTGCAGCAGGCAACTGGCAATTGGCCTCATAGTGAAACCTTAACATGGGAACTATTCCTATGAAGTAGTCCATTTATTTCTCACATGGCCCAAGCTACTGAAGCAGTTTCAAGCCAATTTTAAAAAGAGTGTTGTATCTCTAATTTATTGTTTTATATGGGATGTTTTAGTGCCTCTTCACTGCTTAGCTTATAATCATCCCTAATTACTTTGTGTTTCCAGAGTTTATTTAAATTTCAGTGTTCCAACTTATTTTTAAAATCAAGGACACTACCCAGAATAAGGAGTGCTTATATTAGTGCAGTGCAAAATTCTGTAGTTAGAGGCATGGTCTCTATCCATAATGTATAAATTTATCTGAGTCCATAAAACAGATGGAAATATATGCAAGGGATGGGGGTCTTCTTTTCTGACAAGAGCTACTGACCTGTAGAAGACATACTAAAGGATTAAGTATTTTCCTAGAGAAGTCAAGGAAGACATTAACTTCAATTGGAAGACTATTGTATGTCAGGTTTTAGCCTAGACAATTTACACATTTAATTTTATTTAATTTACTTCAAACAGAAGAACACTTCAGAGGAAGTTAACAGTATTCATAGTTTCTACATGTAATATCCACAGCATCCATTGTTCAATAAGTTATTAGACATACAAACAGGAAAATGTGATCCATTTTCAAGGAAAAAACAAGTTATGATTCATTAATGAGATGGCCCAGATATTAGATTTAAAAAACTAGCCATTATGAATAGTATAAAGAATCAAAGGAAAATATGGTGAATAATAAGTAGTCTCATTAGAGAAATAGAAATTATGAAAAGGAACTAAATGCAAATTCTTAAACTGAAAAGTATAGGAAGTGGTAAACAATGGGCAAATATAAAACACTTTTTTTCCTTTCTTCTCGTAACTTGCTTAAGAGACAGCTAATTGCTTCCCTGGCCAGTGTTGCTCAGGTGGTTGGAGTGTCATCTGGTAACCAAAAGTTCGCAGGTTCGATTCTGGGTCAGGGTATACATACCTATCTTGCAGATTTGATCCCTAGTCAGGGTGCATAGGGGAGGCAAACAATTGATGTTTCTCTCTCACATCAGTGTTTCTCTCTCTTCCTTTCACTCTCTCTAAAAACAGTGAAAAAAAGTCCTCAGGTGAGGATTAAAAAAATAAGACAATTAATTGCTTACACCAACAACGATAACCTTGTAAAGTGAAATTTAGAACATATACGAGGTCTGTACAGAAGGTATCCAGCCATGTAATATGAAAAATAGAGACATTTATTGAAGAAGACACAAGATACAAGAAACATTGTACATAGGACAATGATAGCTCAGTCCCCTTCAAAGTAGGCACCTTGGGACCTCACACAGTTCTCCCAGTTGCCATCAGCTGCCCCATCTCATTTTCCTGAGTCTCATTGATGTTCTGAAATCTCTTCCCTTTCAAAGGCAATTTTAGTTTTGGGAAAGGCCAGAAGTCGCAGGGCGCCAAATCTGGCCTGTGGGGGGGCTGAGTCATCCAGGTGATTTGATGTTTCACCAAAAAACACTGCGTGAGATGTGATGCATGAGTGGGTACATTGTCAGGATGAAGCTACCAAACACCAGTTGCCCATAGCTGTGGCCTTCGGAATCATCCGAACAGTTTCTGCAGAGGACGGTTCATGCTTAACACAAAATCTTATGCAGATTCATAGCTCTACTTGTTCAGTCATTTTGAATAAGCTGACCACACAGTACATGTGCTCACTAAATGGCATCCCGCACACACACTGACTAGGACAGTGATGTCTTCATTGTTCACGCATGGGCATTCCAGTCCACTCTCCTGGGCTGCCAGCTTACATCAGTGTCGTCATGGGAACAGTTGTTACATTAACAATGGCTGGACTTTTTCCAGATAGATCTCATATAACAGGGATAATACAATATGACTAAGGACTTCAAGGTTGGTTCACCATTTAAAATTAATCAATGTGGTTACATTAACAGTATAAAGAAAAAAAAACCCTATCTTAATTGTTGCAGAAAAAAGCATTTGATCAAGTATCAAAATCTATTATAAAGCTATGTTAGTTAAAGCTATGGTACAGGAATAAATTAGTGGATGGGTGGGTAAGACAATGCACAACTTAGTACAATCCCAGTAGTGGCACCAAACTATACCTAGAAGTAATTGGATTTTTCACTGCCACACAGTTTAAAAAAAAACCAAAAAGCCAGCTTTTCTTAAGAATATTCTTTATGAAACAGATTTAATTTTATTAAAGCTTGATTTTTTTAGTATGTATCATTTTACTAAAGACGAATTTGAAGATGAAATGAGAAGTATGCATAAAGCACTGCTGTTGCACACTGAAATTTTATTATTGTCTCAAGAAAAAGCACTGTGTAATTGATTTACAAGCCGATCTAGTTACTCCTTTGGTGGAATACCATTTTCACTTGAAAAAAATGACAGGCAAACTGTGGTTATTCAAACTTTGGTATTTGGCAGACCTTTTCTCAAAAATGAATGAGGTAAGCCAGTTACCTCAAGGGAAACAAGTGACTTTTTTTTTTTTTTTTTTTTTTTGCTGTGATAAAACGTGAGCTTTCTTTTAAAAAATTTTTTTTTAAATTATATTTTATTGATTATACTATTATAGTTGTCCCGATTTTTCTCCCTTTGCCCCCTCCACTGAGCTCCCTCAGGCAATCCATACCACTTTGCTCATATCCATGGGTCATGTGTATAAGTTCATTGGCTACTCCCTTTCCTATACTGTAATTTACATCTCCATGGGTATTCTGCAGCTACCTGTTTGTACTTCTTAATCCCCTCACCTCTTTACCCATTCCCCGAAGCTCCCTCCCATTTGGCAGCCATCAAAACGTTCTCCATATCCATGATTCTGTTTCTGTTCTTGTTTGTTTTTTAGATTCAATTGTTGATAGATATGTATTCATTGCCATTTTATTGTTCGTAGTTTTGACTTTCTTCTTTTTCTTAAATAAATCCCTCTGGTATTTCATTAATGATTTAGTGATGATGAATTCTTTTAGTATTTCTTGTCTGGGAAACTTTTTATCTACCCTTTGATTCTAAATGATAGGTTTGCTGGTAGAGCAATCTTGGCTGTAGGTCCCTGATTTTCATGACTTTTAATATTTCCTGCCAATCCCTTCTAGCCTGCAAAGTTTCTTTTGAGAAATTAGGTGACAGTCTTATGGGAACTCCCCTGTAGGTAACTGACTGCTTTTCTCTGGCTGCTTTTAAGAAGGTTCTCTCTTTATCTTTAACCCTTGGCATTTTAATTATGATTTGTCTTGGAGTGGGCCTCATTGCATCCATCTTGTTTGGGACTCTGTGCTTCTTAGACTTGCATGTCTATTTCCGTCACCAAATTAGGGAAGCTTTCTTTCATTATTCTTTCAAATAGATTTCCAATTTTTTGCTCTTTCTCTTCTCTTTCTGGGACCCCTCTGACACAAATGTTGGAATGCTTGATGTTGTCCCAGAGGTTGCTTACACTATCATCAGTTTGGGGGGGATTCTTTTTTTCTGCATGTTGTTCTCATTGTTTTTTGCTTCCTTATATTCCAAATCATTGATTTGATCTTCACCTTCATCCACTCTACCGTTGTTTCCCTGTAAGTTTTTCTTTGTTTCAATTATTGTATCCTGCATTTCTTACTGAATATTTTTTGTACTGTTGAAGTCCTCACTAAGTTCCATGAGCATCCTTATAACCAGTGTTTTGAACTCTGCATCTGATAGATTGCTTATCTCCATTCTGCTTAGTTTTCTCTCTGGAGTTTTAATCAGTTCTTTCATTTGGGCCATGTTTCTTTGTCTTCTCATTTTGGCAGCCTCCCTGTGTTTGTTTCTATGTATTAGGTAGAGCTGCCATGACTCCCTGTCTGGGTAGCATGGCCTAATGTAATAGGTCTCCTGTAGGGGCCAGTGTCACAGCCTCCCCTATCACCCTAGCTGGATACTTGAGGTGCACCTTCCATGTGGGCTGAGTACACCCTCTTTTTGCAGTTGATTCTTGATTTCTG